CTGTCGGTTCAAACCCACCAGCCACTCCTCAGAAGGAAGATGGGGCAGTCTACTTCCGTAGTGATACTGCCTCGGAAACCCAAGGAGGGATTGCTATGAGTCGGGTCTAACTCGACGGCATGTTACAACAACAAGAAGAAGTGGTTAGAAATCCTAAGAATTTTCTAGCAAAACATGTTTCATAAAACACAGCTCCTAGGTGTTGGAGGCAGCAACTGGTATTTGCCCTCAGCTCTGCGGCGTAACACCTGGGTGACCTGGGACAAGCCACGTCACTCCCAAGGAGCTCATTTCTTTATGTGTGAAGCATGGGTATTAATACTTGCTCTGCCTCTAGTAAGGGAGCCCAGCCAGGTAACTGAGGCAAGAAGAGAGGAAAGGGGTGGGGGGAGAGGAGACTGCCGTTCCCTGAGGATCTAGAACTCACAGGCACTATTTGAGGACCTTGACATATGTTACTTTACTTAATTCCCTCAGCAAGCCTGTGAAGTGAAAATTATTGCTCCTCGTTCACAGATCAGGCAAATGAGGCTAGTCCAAGCAAATATTTCTTAGGTTTTGTCTGTGATTATGTGGTTTTTGTATTTGAAATGGAAAAAGAAAAACCCTGCAGATTTTGGCTTTTATAGTATATATAGGAACTTCCTCATACAGATTAAGGAGCTCTGGCGCCTGAGGCATTTGACTGCTAACCAGAAGGTTGGCGGTTGGAACCACCAGCCACTCCATGGAAGGAAGATGGGGACTCTACTTCCCTGAAAGGTGTCTCTATGAGTAAGAATTGACTGATGGCAGTGAGTTTGGTTTCAGTTTTGGTTTTGGTTTTATAAAGACTGCTTTCTTCCCTTGGGAAAAGAAGAAGCATAGAGCACAGGCGGGGAGGGAGAAAGAGAGAGGCATTGGGAGAGAAGGGGGGAGCGCTGGGGCGAGCTCAGGGCCCTGTTAAACACTCCATTTTATTGAGTGCTCAGAATAAGTAGATGCCTGCGTGGCGGTCAACAGGACCCAGGCAGGAACACGTGCTGAGTCCTGAGATTCGTCTCTCGAAATGAGATCAAGCACTTGCATCCCGAGTCATTCGATCCCCTCACATCTGCTTCTGTCTCAGGAGAAAACAGACTGACAAGGCTGCCCAGGACAGCGGGATGGGGGCCCACACGGCTGCCTTAAACCTCCTCTGACCCAAAATGGGTCCCCAGCGCCTCCTCCTGGGATCAAGACAGCAGGAG